CTCAGCGCCTCTTCCCTCTCTGCCCGCAGCACGGAGCGCCGGGTCCCAGCCGCGCTGAATGCCATGAGCCACTGAAAGGGAGCCTGGCTTTCCCGGTGAGCCCCCCGCCGTCCCCCGCCCCGCTCGGTCTCTTGCTCCCCGCCTGCCCTTCCCGGGCTGATGGCAGTTCTGGGCCCTCAGGCTCATGTCCCCCCTTTTCTGAGCCTTCAGGACTCGAGAGGAAGAGAAAGGTGTGAACTATGTTTCTGGAGGGGACAGGGAGCGTCCAGCCCAGAGGGGAGGTCGGCAGGGGGCTGGTCACTCCCAAGATGCCCAGTGTGGGTGAAACGCGTGGGCCTTTCTGGAAAGCCTGTCACCAGGGAGGACAGGGAAAGTGGGAAAGGAGGCATGAGGCTGCTGGCGCCCGCTCCGCCTGTATTGTGGTCCCGGTCTGTTTGGCACCTGTGTGGCCTCGGGCAAGTGTCTTCCTCTCTAACCACTGACGTCCTCAGCCGCCCCTGCCTTGTTCCGAGGATTAAGGAAGCAGCCTCGTTTTGACACGTAGACAATGCCTGGCATCTAGTTAAGTACTTCGTGGGCGATCCATCATCATCATCATCACCAGCACCATCAAAGAAAACGGAGGAGCAAAACTGACCCGGGGCCAGTTGAGCAGGACAGGGAATTGCGTCCAAAGGATGGCGCGGCTGTGGGGGCAGGACCCCGTGGGTGCGAACCCCAGTGGGAGACACCTCGGCGTCACGACACCAGGGGCTTCGACGTTCTGTGTGCACGTTGACTCCAAAGACAGTATTTCAGCAGAAGGTTTTGACACAGAACCACAGGGAACCAGTTATTCCATAGAGCTAGGATTCCCATTGGGTTCAAGTGTTGACGTTCAGCGCGCCCAAAACTTTTAAATTTTAAATATTTGGGGTCACATGCTTCCCTTCCTCTTTAAACAGTCTTCTCTGTGCTGTGATTCCCCTCCCACCCCCACCCAGGCCACTCAGTTCAAACATTCGGGTTAGACCTCTGCCCCCCCCCCGCCCCCCGGGGTGGCGAGCTGGGCCGTCTGCCTTGAAGGACTCACACACCAGCTTCTGTGGTGCCCCTGGGCCTGTTCCTGGATAGTTTGCTTCTCCTGTGTGTTTCCCCCCCTGAAATGAATGTCTTTATTGTTTGTATTACAGGAATAGGAGGAATGGGGGAAGGCCAGTGGGGAGGAGGGAGAATTGTCAGATAAATGACATACACACAAAAAGGAAAAAAGAGGCGGCCACACACACCCTCCCAAGATGCCTTTCTATGAACTATCTGGTACGGGAGATCAGAACCATAAAAATTAAATTCTAAACACTTGGAGATGTTGGGGTGGGAAGGGACAGGGACCCCAGGTGTGTCCCCCGCCCCCCCGCAGGCCAGCACTCCTCCTCCATGGGATGAACCGCTCAGGCCAGGGATGAGTAACTGTTGCTTCTCCCTGTTGTGTGTCTCCACTTCCAGCAGCCTTTTCCTCCTCCTCCTCCTGGCGGTTTCTAATCTATGGGCTGAAAAAGTGGGCTGAAGCTTGTAAGCACTGGTGGTGGCTCAAGCCTGGGAAGCGTAGCCTGGATTTTGGTTGTTTTGATCTGGTGTCCTCTGGTTCTGGATGGGTGAGCTTGCTGGATAGCAAGATTCCTCAGGCCAGATGTGCTTAGCAGAGGAGAATTTCCTAGGAGAGTCTCTTCCTGTGGCAAATCCCCGCCCGCCCCCCTCCTGTTTGTTCCTCGTGGTTTCCTTGTTTGTTAATAAGTGTTTGGCCCCTGGCACTTGCTTGTCCTCTCTGGCAGCGGTCCATGAGGCTTGGGGAGGCTGGGCAGGTAGTGTGGCCTAGCTGGGGGGAGGAAGAGGCCATGTGGGGGAAGGGCAGGCTGGCTGAGGTCTGGTCCATCTCGGACGAGGCTGGTCAGGGC